ACTAGTTCGAATTAAGTGGCTACACAGCCCTTAATTCAAACTACTTAATTCGAACTAGGCATTAGTCCTCATAGAATGAGGTTTACCTAGTTCCAATTAAGCGCTCTGCTAGTTCGATTTAAATTCGAACTAGCGGTTTGTATGTGTAGCCCCTATTAAAGTTAATTCGAACTAACGGCTGTTAGTTCGAATTAACTTTGTAGTGTAGACATACCCTTACTTAGTGAGATGTTCTCCCTGGAGAGCTAGACACAGGGGAACTTAGTCCTCATAGAATGAGGTTTACCTAGTTCCAATTAAGCGCTCTGCTAGTTCGATTTAAATTCGAACTAGCGGTTTGTATGTGTAGCCCCTATTAAAGTTAATTCGAACTAACGGCTGTTAGTTCGAATTAACTTTGTAGTGTAGACATACCCTTACTTAGTGAGATGTTCTCCCTGGAGAGCTAGACACAGGGGAACAGTGAGAGAGGGTCAGGGTGAGGGATGCTCCCCTAAGGATGACCTCCCAGTAGAGAAGCTGCAGGGGATCTTGCTCAGGAGAACAGGGTGTCACTCCAGTGGGAAGAGCTAAGGTGGCAGCCCAGGGACAGAAGTTTAGGGACTGAGTCCAGTTGTGGTTGCAGGGTGCTGGGGTATATGGAGGGACTCCCAGCAGAGACACTGGTTGGGGGTGTGACAGTCTCCATGGGTTGCAAGGCAAGGTGTGTGTAGGGACCCAGCTCCGCCCTCCCAGAAGAGGCAGGGACTCAGGTGGAAGGGATGGAGCCGGGGAACACAGCCCTAAGCACTGCCCTGAACATACCACACCAGTCTGCAGGCAGCCTTTAGTGCTGCCCAGTACGCTGGGCCTCTTGCCCCAGCCCTGAGAGCTGCATAGTGATTTCATGTCTAAAATGGTAACAAGCTCAGTACCTACAGGGCTGAATACAAAAGAGCATTTGGACATCTGTAATAAAAATAAATTAGTAGTACCACTCTCCATACATTCAGTTAGTCCCTGAAATAACTATGGGATGCTATTCACATTTACAGTATTAAAAACCTGCTGATGAAATAAACTATTATGAATAGCTAGGACAAATTCATAATTCAGAGAGCACCTTATTTCAGAAATAAGTATCATCTCCACATTGTTCCAGGGTTTGAAACAAGACTAGAAAATATGAGTCCAAATCCCTCCAGATGTCCCTGGGAATAATTCAGCCTTCACCTACTTTATGGATATTTCCCAAAACGGCAGATGTTCTGGAGGTGGTTGTTCATTAATTACTTTACTCCTTCTTTGAATTCTCTCCAGCTTTTCAATAGCCATCTTCAGTCAAGCTGTTCAGAACTGTGTCATAGATGTGCTCTTACCAGTGCTGCATAGAGAGGGACTTGCTTTGACATTTCCCTTTTCAACGTATCTTTTCCTCTCATTGAATATCTGTGTTCTGCATTACATTTCTTCAGGAGAAGAGATATGTGTTAAATGCAATCAACTGTACATAAGCTTATGTAGACTAGCAAGAGTCAATAAAAATGTAAAAAGTATAAGGCAATAATATTCACTATAACAGATTTATTTTTATTCCAGTTGAGACCCTGGAGAGCTCATAAGTCAAGTTAACCTTGGTGCAGAAATGTATTATTGAGAAAAGAGATCACATTTTATTGTTTTAACGGTGAATCCTTGAATTATAAGTCTTACCTTTGCAGATTCCTCTAACATAGCAGACAAGTTAATATCTTTGGCTTCTAGCACATGCACAACAAATGCTGGGTTCTGCATACTGGTGGCAACATTTCCAAAGCTAAAAAAAGTTACATTCCCTAATTTATATCAATCTATGCGGATCGGGGTTATCCCATTGTCACTACACTGACTTCCTGAGTCGTGTGGCCATTCACATCAAGGGAGCTCATGGCTCAAGAGGGTGTGTGTGTTGTAATATTTTATTTCTGGCTTAGTTCAGTGATATTCAGCCAGAAGTCCTGTAGCAGCATGTGGCTCTACATGGTGCACTTTTTAAGGGTTTGGGTGAGAAGTCATGCAACATCATGACACGAATATGACAGTTGCCCCAGAAAACAGGCTGGTTTCATCAGTGTGTGAATTATTAGATGACAAAAGTTTCTTTCAGGGTTAAGAGTAATTAGGACCAGATGCAAGAAAACATTATCCCATTTTCCTTTCCAAAATCATGGATTCCTCAAGCTTATGGTGTCATATAAAAGTTTAAGTCTGTGGAATACCATTAAAAAGCTAATGTATCAGAGGAGCACAAGAATCCTGATTTTTTTCCCTCCTCTACCACTCTGTCTTATTTGTCTGCTTACCAGCATAACTGAAGGAAGAATTAGGTGCCCTGATCTTTCTGAACTATCTAGCTTCCCTAGCAACCTGCCTATTTGCATGTGCCCCATTGCTGTTGTATCTTAGGGTGTGTCTAGACTACAGGGTTTTGTCGACAAAAGTGGACTTTTATCGACAAAACTATACCAGCGTCCACACTACCGCTGAGTTCTGTCGACATAATGTCGACAGAACTCAGCAGTTTTGTCAACGCTGGTAAACCTCATTTTACGAGGCATAACGCCTTCTGTCGACAGAGTTTCTGTCGACAGAAGGTGTTATTGCATGTAAACTGTCCTTTGCGTCTACACTACCATGTCGACAAAGCAGCTTGCTTTGTCGACAGAACTCAATGTAGTGTAGATGCTCTTTGTCGACAGAAGCCTGTAGTCTAGACGTACCCTTAGCTCCCAAACATTCAACTATGAGTAATAGCACTCATTTACTCCCCTGCACACAGAAGTTAAAGTTTAATCAGTGGAAAAAGTGTGTGAGTGTGAGAGAGATGGGGGGGATTTAATGTAAAAACAAACCCCCACTTTTACAGTTAGTAAATATGATGAGATAAGGAGTCCCTTCAAAGAGACTACTGGCATGTCATAAGCTATTGCTCTGTTACACCCTGTCAGGCACGGGCTCCTAGGATTCATGTATGTTGACCTCGATATGTATCAATCACTAATAAATACACTCCATGCTTTTGTAGTTCTGTCTGTGGGTGTCTTGACTCTGCAGTCGTGTGTGTGTGTGTGTGTGTGAGTGAGATTTCAACTTGTAGTTCTGTCTGTGGGTGTTTTGACTCTGCAGTCGTGTGAGAGAGAGAGAGAGAGAGAGAGAGAACTTGTGTACATGTACCCAGGCTAGTTATGATCTGGTACAGAACATGCTTCCTCCCAGGCTAGCCTTGAGTTGTTGTGCAAAGTAATCTTGCACAACTCACACTGTGAATTTGTTGACATGGCTTTGCTGCTCCGGTACCTAAGCTAGCTGGATTAAACCTCTCTCAGGTAGGTGTACTCAAGCTGCTATCACACCCTGAGAGGTCAGTATAGACATATCCTTTGCCTAATGACTAACTAAGTGGCTCTGACAGTGAGAAGCAGTACTGTCATGCTGGAGTTAAAGTACAATTCTGAAGAAGAAAGTATCAAAGCCATTTATCATAGTTATTCTCCTCACATTTTAGGACAAAGATACTGTACTATGTTTAGCCCTGTTCCTGAAAACAACAGGAGACACATTAATTTTACATAAAATATGCTACAAAACAGTAACAACTATTGGACAGGTCTTTCTTTTCTTTCTTCAAAAGGGTAAATTCACATCTGAAGACCACGCATGATTTTTTTTTTATAAATCCAGTGTCTTGCTATTGGAACTAATTGAATAGTTTCTCTAAGGAACATTTTTCTGTCAAAAAGTAGCAATTTGTCAACATCTAAATGTTCTGTGGGAATGAGTGAATACTGTCACGCCTTCATGGGCTGCCGCAGCGCTGGGACTCTGACCTGAACTGAAGTACTCAAGACACCCTTCAGAGAAACCAGGAGCCTAGTAGCTCTGAATCAAGCAGGGCTGTCAGGGACTTCCAGGCTTGTGGGTTTTGGCAGCTCATCAGATGGGCATTCACAGCACTGGACAGCTTAGGGACTAGGGTGACCAGATGTCTCAATTTCATAGGGATAACACAATATTCAGGGTTTGGTCATATATAGGTGCCGATGCATCCCCCTCTCCCCAGCTGTTCTTTCATACTTGCTATCTGATCACTCTGTTGGGGACCCTTATTCATTTTTCTTTGAAATAGTTAAAACAGTGTCCTTTCTATTATTCTTAAATGAAAATTCTGGACTCCTTTCATTCCACTTGAAATTCTAAAATGGAATTATTTTTAAAAAACACACTGGAATTCCCTAAGGAGCATCCATTCTGGGTTTTGACCACCCCTACTTGGAATTGGGTTTTTTTAAAGTAAATGGAACAGTACAATTAATTGCATATTTTGTTACACAATTTCAAGCTTGACTTAGTGCCAACTCCCTTCTCTCCTGGGCTACACAACTATCAGGAAGCCCTGCTGGAGTACTGCAGTGTTCCAAAGAAGATTCAGAAGAACCCAGACCAGGAAAGCACTTAATACATGCTTGGCTCTAAATAAATGAGTAATGCAACTGAAAAGATGATGCTGAAAAGAAGGAACCAGATGGCAGGGTTCCAGGGCATGTGAAATCAAAATAAAAACATTTCAAATCAGTTAATTTCTGAAGTGAATAACACATCACTGAGTGAAGGCCACGTGGTAATAAAAGTACATTTTCTTCCCTTCTAGTTACCTAAAGTTAACAATCCATTGGCTAACTCTTGACAATTCTAGCATTATTCATCTCCTTACTGGAGTGTGAGGCTTAAGTCCCCTGTTAAGCAAGGTAGTACAGAACGCCTGCTGTGAAATCCTGAGCTACCTCTACTGCTACGAAGCTAATAGAAAATGGTGATACTCTGCACTTTGTAGGTTGAAGCCAGCATTCTTGATTCTGCTGATGAAGTCAGACAAACATTTTCGTGCAGAAACCAGAACACAGCAGAGTCACCTCGTGGCACCAAATGTGCACAGGGAACATGGATCTGGTAAGAGGAGCATATCTAAGACATCAGACCAAGTTTTACAAAAGAGAACTAAGGCTCCGAGCCTGACATCAGATTTACAAGGATGGGTCTATATATCTGTATAATGCCACAGTGACTTCAATAGGATTCTGCATGATAAAAAGGGTCTGCCCATTTGGATCAGATGGCAGGATTTGGATCAAATGTTAAAACACCGCAACTGGTCACAACAAAAGGAAGAAACTTTCATGACTTCATCAGTGTGCTTGCTACTTTAAAATACAAACTGCTTAGTATATCCAGAATAATTATGGATATATGTTACTGTCTCTGGTCATTATGTATAAAATGTGTGCACAGGATGAAGGGGAAATAAAAGACTGCTCTGCAAAATAAAAGATTCTGGCTTCAAAAATGTTGGGTGCAGAGATTCTAAAATATTGTCTCTTCTACCCTATGATAACAGTTGTGTGAAGATACAGGGATAAAATAGTATTAGCAGATTTATCAAACATATTTTAGATCACAGTGTAGATTTAGGCAACACTTATATTAAGCAAATGATTAGGAACAAAAGATTTACTTAATGTAATGAATAAGGGCTTGCCAGAAGAGAAAGAATGGTCTCATTCTCATTAGAATTGTCTTCTATCTCTCTCTCTGACACAGAGATCCTAGGTAATGCGGGGCAAGTCACTTTTCACAGATGGTCATTGCAGAGGTATGTTTGTAGATTATAATTTAGAGATGTTCCCTCATAAAGGACAATATTATGAACATGGGAATTTGGAGATATGTCTTGCAGGTAGGGATTGGGAACGCTACATTGCTGTGTGCGGCAGCTTCCTACAGAAGCTCTCCATATTACTTTATTAAAGTGTTAGTCCTTTTTCATTCACTGGTTATTTAATGAATCGTGAGATGTTGTCAGACATGTTGTCAGAAGTGCTGTAGTTTCCTTCTCATTCAATGATATTGAAATTAACTCCTGTGTTAGCAATGAAACATAGAGACAAAGGGAGGTACCAGAACAGCATGTGGAATACCAAGTACAGAGGCTTTTGCTACAACAGTAGCTTGACTAGCTTAAGAAAAAGGGAGAGAGGAGGAACCAAAATGGATGAGTTCCAACTGCCTTGTAGTCTGCAACTGTAAGGAAATGTTGCAGAGAAATTTCAGACAATTTGAACTGTATTTAGCGGTCATAGGGGCAGAGGAGAAAAAAGATCAAATGAAATCATCCATCTTTTTGCATGTTGTTGGGGAGAAAGCACTGGATATTTAGAACAATTTAAAATATGAAGTTAAATAAAATACTGTCTAAATTTAAGGAACATTATCTGCCAAAAAGGAATGAGACCTTTGAGAGACAAAGTATTTTTACATGCATGCAGAAAACTCATGTCACCGTAGTGCAATATGTCCCAAAATTAAAGAAACTTGGTAAAACCTGTGACTTTGGTTTGTTGACAGAGTCTCAGGTCAGAGACAGAATTATTTGAGGCATTAAGGAAAATGTGTTAAGAGACTGCTTTGTGAAGGTGATATAACTTTAGAAAATGCTCTTGAAATATACATGGCAGCAGAAACTGCGAAAACACAAGCCAAAGAACTGAATTTACTATATGGGGTTATCCATGTATAAGGTATTAAAAATAGCCAGAACAGGTCTAATCAGAAAGTGGAATGACAACTTGCTATGAAAACCACTGCTAGAGAGAGGGAAGACACAGATGGTAATATGGAAGATATGGATCATAGCCTGATCGCAAACAAACGTGTTGCCTTTGGGAAACTCCATCGTAAGTTTGTGGGAAATAATCAATTTTCAAAATGCTGCAGATCTCAAATGCAGAAAACTCAAACAAATTCAGTTAATGACAATCTGGTTGAGGACATACTGGGATCTACCAAGTCTGATGAAAGGGATTACATACTGCCTATTCCCGTGAACGGATGAATTTCTCCCCTAAAAGTGGATACAGGAACTCAGGTTTATTATCTGTCTGAGCAAGATTATGAGAGGCTAAAAATAAGTAAAAAAACTGGGACCCCAAAAATAAAAGTATCCGATTATCCTGGAACAAATATACCAGTGAAGGCAGGTGCATTTCTAGCATCAAGCATAAAAACACCAATCTCCTGTTCATTTTAGTGCCAAAAGGAATTATAGCAATTTTCGGCCTGGCTTCAAGTAAGAAGCTCAGTTTGGCAAAATGGATGCTCTCACTCCAAAGTCATATTGAACGTGGCTCTGAGGCACTTTTTACGGAATATCATGACTTATTTCAAGGGTCAGGTTGCTTGCAGGGTGAAAATATAAGCAGATAAACAAGCGGATCATTCCAGTTATCTGTCCATGTGGAAATGTGAAATTTGCACTTGGGGATAAACTCCAGGCTGAGCTTGCGAGGATAGAAGCAATGCAAATAATACAAAAAATTGAGAAGCCAACACAATGGATGTGCTCCCTAGCCATCATGGAGAAAAGTAATGGCCAATTATATATACGCTTATTTGAGAGACCTCAACAGATCTGTAAAAAGAGAACATTTGAACCTACCACCAAGAAAAGAGATCATGGCTCAATTTGCAAATCTTATTATATATTTTAGAAATGTGTGTTTGTCTGTCTATCTGTGAGTCCATTTGTTCAAGAACTCCTCCTCAACGGTAAGAATTAGGACCAAATTTAGTATGCAGCTTCTTCTTATCATAATTTAAAGGTGATGTGCCTGGAATTCAATTGATTCTCATAAATTGGCAAGGGAGGAGTTTGACAAGAGGGGCAGTTACATTGCAGAATGACTACAGGGGAAGCAAGGGACAAGAGATGGGAACCAGGACAGCTATAGCCCCACTGGGCCAGCAGGAGACAGGAGTAAGGATGTTAAATTTAGATTAATTTGCTAATCAAATAGTCAGTGCAATTTGCATCGACTATTTGATCAGTCGATATGATCGCCCCCACCTTTGAAGTGAAGCAATAGCCTCTGGGCTGTTGCTACACTTCAAAGGCAAAAGCACTGTGGGGAGCATGAGGCCAGCAGGGGACTCAACCAGTCCCCTGCTGGCCCTGTGCTCCCCATGGCATTTCAAAGTGGCAGCACTGCATGGAGCCTGGTGTCAGAGTCCCCAGCTGACCCCGGGCTCCATGCGATGCTGCCTGTATGAAACACCACATGCAACCCAGGCCAGCTGAGGGCTGCTCGCGGTGTTTCAAAGTGGCAGTGCCTCATGGAGCCCAGGGTCTGGCCACTTTGAAGCAACCTCTCCTCTTCTCCCCACCCCTGGCTGCCTCTTTCTGATATAGCAGCAAGGGGCGGGGGGAAGTGATTAGTCAATTAATGTGTCGACTAGTCCGGCGGGAAGTGATTAGTCAATTAATGTGTCGACTAGTCATTCACATCGCTTGACAGGAGTGGAGAAAGAGATAGCTATCTACTATATATTTCAGGGAATTTGTCTTTTTATGTATCTGTTTGTCTGTGCATTTGTCTGTTCCCCAGCCAGGGGACATGCACTCCTCTCCTGGCTGTGCCCACTGCAGCTGCCATGGACAGGTGTTTTTCAAGCTCCTGCAGAGAGAGAGGGTTGGGGTTGTTCTCTCTCCCCAGGGCTGCGTGAATACTGAGTTCCTCATCCCCAGGCCCACCCCAAAGCAATGATTCAAATGAAGAGAAACAAAACTTATTTGAGTTAAAGACCTGAGCAATGCTGGGTAAATCTTCTAATGTTCAATATTTCAGCAAACTGGATGCACCCTCAGATTTTTGGCAACTAAAATTACCTGAAGGAAGCTGAAAATTATGCACATTTAATACCCCATTGGAAAATACAGATTCTTACACTTACCCTTTGTCATAGCTTTAGCAGGAAAAGTGTACCACAAATCCATACATATGATCCATGAACATACTAATGGTGTTGATACTTCAGTGGATGATGTCATAATTTGAGGCTCAGTGAAAGAGGAACATGAACATAGACTCAGGAAGTCCCTCATGCAACTAGAGCTGCAAACCTCAAACTAAATAGGGAGAAATGTTTTTAGGAATTACAGTATTGACTTTTGTTAAGGATATTATTTCCAAGGAAGGTGTAAAACCTGTTGCAACCAGGCAGGCAGAAGGCCACTCAGAGAGGTCCTTCCTCCACCTGCTGTCACTCCACCCTCCTGGGCATCACCAAATGTCCTCCGTGTCTGGGGGGCCGCCAGCCCACTGGACAGGCCTAGTCAGCTGGCAGCCTCCCACTATGTCCCTTGCGACTAAGGCCTTCTCAGCCAGTAAGCAGCTGGGAAAGGTAGGGGGCCTTGGGCCCACCTCCTCTCCTCCCGGCCCAGGGTCCTAAGGTCCAGGATTGGGCTCCCTGGTCCAGTTGGTGGGGTTAAAACCAGCAATGCACCAACCTGTGGGCTAGTCCAAAAGCCATGCCCTGGGCCGCTTCCTACCTTCCTCCTCTCCTCACGGTCGCTCCCATCCTCTACACCGGGCGACCCCTCTCTCCTGGAGGTGGTGCTTCTTTTAAGCATCCTGCCGGGGCTGCATCTGACATGGGGAGAGCCGTGCCGAGGTGGTGCTTTTAAGCATCCCGCCGGGGCTGCATCTGACATGGGGAGAGCCGTGCCGCAGGTCTTGTCCCCTCCCCCTTCCTGCTCTTCGGCGCATGAGCACAGGCCGACGTCCCCAGTCACCATGGAGCTTGCATGTCCAGCACCAGGCCAGCGCACCACCACCACTTTTCCCCTGAATGCCAGGGATGGTGCAACTGGCAGGTGGGGTGTCGGAGTGTCCCCATCATATTTGCTGGCAGCCGCAGAGCAGGTGCCGCAAAGCCAGAGCGACGCAGCCGCTTCTCCCCAGAACGCCAGCGACGGCGCGGTTGGCATGCAGGGTGCTGGCACGTCCCCGTCACACCTGTGAAGAAAAAGATTTCAGCCTCTGAAGTGATGTCATGTCTCCAGTAACTGATATTCCACGGTTCCTAGGAATGGTTAATTCTCTTAAGAAAATTCAGACCTGCTGTATCTACCAAAGCAGCAGATTTGATAAAACTCATAAAGAATAGCAATGAATGGCATCAGGGTGCAGAACAGCAGGAAATCCTGGGCAGGTTTAAAACAACAACTGATACAAGAAGCAGTGTATCCCGGAAAAGTTCTGTAGTTTAGATGTACCCTGAGAGTGCAATCAGTGTATTTCTGGAGAAGCAGTGAAAGCTGAAATGGATCACAAGCACCTGAGAGTGCTCTTTCGCAAACAGCTAATGACGGTAATGTAAGAATTCAAAGAATAATGATAAAGCTGCAAAAGTGTGATTTGGTCGTGACCTACACACCTGGTAAATTCGTGTTCACTGCAGATGCACTTTCCAGAGAAGTGGCTCATTCCCATGAAACCAAAGAAGACTTTAGAAACAGAGATGCGAGCCTATGTAGATCTGCCTGTAAAGTCAATTCCCATAATTAATAAGACATTGCGACATGTAAGACAGGAAATGGAGAAAGATGAATCATTTGAAATCCTTAAAGAAGTGATTTTTAAAGGATGGCCTAAAGATATAAGCAGTTGCTGTCCAAGTGTAGCAGAAAATTGGCACTGCAGATATGAACTTACTGTGATAAACGGGATAATTTTCAAGGACAGTCAGATTGTAATTCTAATAAGCCTCTGAAAAGAAATGCTGTGGAGGATCCACGAGGGTCATTTAGGAACTGAGAAGTGAAAACAATGAGCACAAGAAGTACTGTATTGGCCTTGGATCAGTCACGACATTAAGTGGTAGAAAATTGCTTTTCATGCATGAAATACAGGCCATGCTAACAAGCAGAGCCACTGAGACCTAATCCAGATTCAGAAAGGCCTTATGCAAAGGTTGGCTCTGATTTATCCATCTGGCAAGTAAAGCATTATTTAACAGTTACAGACTATTATTCTCTGTATCCAGAAATTTGCACACTGCATAGTGCTAAGAGTAAGCCAGTGACAACTGGCATAACGGGAATCTTCTCCAGACATAGAATTCCAGATAAAGTCTTTAAAGGTAATAGGCTGCAATTTTATAGTGCTGGTTTAGGGAATTTGCCATAGATTGAGATTTTCATCCAGTGCAAACTGCCCCCTATCAAATGGACTTGTGGAAAGGCTTGTGAAAGTCTTTTGACAATGAGGATATTTGTATGAAGTTTTATTGATTTACCAAGGTACACTTCTGGGCTGTGTCTACATTGGCCCCTATTCCGTAATAGGGATGCAAATGTAGCACTTTGGAATAGGCAAATCCGCGGGGGATTTAAATATCCCCTGCGGCATTTGCATTAACATGGCTGCCGCTTTTTTCCGGCTTGTAGATAAGCCGGAGAAAAGCACCAGTCTAGACGCGATCCTCCAGAAAATAAGCTCTTTTCCGGGGGATCTCTTATTCCTACTTTCAAGGAAAAGAGCTTATTTTCCAGAGGATCGCGTCCAGACTGGCGCTTTTCTCCGGCTTATCTACAAGACGGAAAAAAGTGGCAGCCATGTTAATGCAAATGCCGCGGGAGATATTTAAATCCCCCGCGGATTTGCCTATTCCAAAGTGCTACATTTGCATCCCAATTATGGAATAGGGGCCAATGTAGACACAGCCCTGGAGAATAACAGCTGAGCCGGAGAAAAGCTAATGAGAAGAAGGGCATCTAACTTACCAAAACAAAAGACAGGACTATGCAGCACATTAAAGACTAACAACATGGTTTATTATGCTGCATAGTCCTGTCTTTTGTTTCAGCTACACCAGACTAACACGGCTACATCTCTATTACTATCTAACTTACCAGTAACTGATAACTTCCCAAAATCACATAACAAGGAAAATATACAGAAGATGAAGAAAAATAAGAAGTGGAAGGTGAAACATTATTTTGGCAAAAGGGCTAGTGACCTCCTATCTCTTAACCCAAATGACATGTGCCTGAAAAATCACACCTCTAATACCTGGGGCCAATGGAGCATCATTAAAGAACAGCTGCATCCAAGGTTTTATGTAATCCGGACATACCAGGGGGCCACATTTCACCATTATCAAAGGGATACTTGGGTAATCAAGTTCCAACACCTTGACAGTTGATGTGGACTCTGGCATTTCCCATCTGACTGATCATCTACACACGAAGGAGAAACTGTCAAGGAATAGGAAAGCAGTAAACACTCTAATGAAAGGCTGATACTGCAAATATCAGAATCAGAAATTAAATGTACTAAAGACACTTAGGCTGTGTCTAGACTACATGCCTCTGTCGTCAGAGGCATGTAGATTAGACGTTATTCCTCGTGGGCCCTGTCTAAATGGGGCTTTCTAGCGGCAAAACCTCTTCCGCAAAAAGAATCAGAAGAAGATATGTAAATGAGTGTGCCATTTGTGTATCCTCTTCAGCAAAAAAAAAAAAAAAAAAAGCAGCAGTGTAGACATAGGTTCTGTGAAAAAAGAAAAACCTTTTTCTTTTTTCACAGAACCTATGTAGAAAAGAAAAACCTGAGCAACAGGGTTCTATGAAAAAAGTTCTGTGAAAAAAGAAAAACCTGAGCAACAGGGTTCTATGAAAAAAAAGTATGTGATTGTGTAATTAAAGACTATATCATAATGCAAATGCACCAGGGTCCAAACTATGATTGCACAGGTAACCTTTATTTTGGCATTTCTTAACTTGGAGTGTTTGATTCACAGCCCTGCTAACTTTCATTTAATGTCGGTTTGTGTACATAATATGTTACATATATCTTTCACAATGGACGACCTCATAATTCACCCTGGTCAGCAACCAGATGAAGGTCCTGGTCTCACATTTCACTCTTGACAGCCTCACTCTTCTCAGTTCTATTTTAGAGATGATGCAAAGCTGCATGGGGGTGCTTTAGGCTCAAAATAATCTGCTACATTAATATTTCCATATAACTTTGCTAATTTAATGGAAGCCTTCACCACCTGCTTTGTCAGAAGATAAGGAAAAGTACCTGTTAGGCCATATAGTTCATTGCTTTGCAAATGCAGGAATAGTCCTTTTGGGCAGCAGTCTGGACTAGTTTTAAATATACTAGTTAATGGGGCTTTGACTACTGGCTTTGGAGTCTGTTTTACATTCTAGTAGATCTCACTCCCAAGAAGAGAATTTGTCCTGGATGAAATCATGATCTCACCACAACTTGTTGGGAAAGTGTTTCATCTTGCACGTTTTCTGTCCCTTACAAATACAAGCATGGTTTCAGAATCTAATCTTTAGTGTGTTGGTGATTTCCTGAATCTTATGGTTTGATCATGCTGGGAAGAGCACTTGGAACTGTGAGTTTCTTCACTTATAACTTATGCTGATATTTTATATTTCATTTTATTATTTGCTATTGTATATAAAAAGCTAAGCTGTAGAATTTATTATAAAGGGAAAGGGAAGATCCTTTGGATTTCCCAATGTTTGCACATAATTCTTCTTTTCATTTGCCTCATATGGGACCATAGAATCTTGTCAACCAAAGATGCTATGTCTAGGGCCAGATTATCCACACCAGAGACATCTTGCTTGTCATATAACCAGAGGATGGTGTCAGCAAAGATTTTATTATTCCATCTTCCTGACTGCCCACTCCCAATCCTTGGCTAGCATGGCATAGGCAACTCTAGGGTGGATCTATGCCACTCATTGGTGCTGGAACTAGGGGTACTCCTGGACCCAGCAGCGCAAAGTGATTTCCATCAGATACAGGGTTAACATTTAGTTCAATGGCTCTCAGCATGTCGATTATACAATTTGTTTAAGCATCCCTGATGCCACCTGAATTTTCAGTTGCTCAAAGGGGATTCACTGCATCCAGATAGGCCATCTTGAAGGCAGCTTTGCTCCAGAAGATTAGTGCCAAGATGCTTTAAGAGACCAGTGGAGATAACACCAGTGCTTCTGAAAAATTATTGTGCTGGCTTCATTGTGTTGCCACAGCACTGTGCACCTAAGTCAATGTTTAAAGCAGAGAACTGGAACTCAAGCCTTGGATTTTATTCTGCTTCTGATTCTTGCATCTGACGAAGTAGTTTTTACCCATGAAAGCTTATGCCCATATAAATCTGTTAGTTTTTAAGATGCCACTTTTGTTTTTGTAGATACAGACTAACTGGATGACCAATTCTCAGGGTGGTCATAGGCCACTTGACCTTTCTATGCTATTCATCTCAAATGCAGATAATATTACTTACCTGCTTCTGTTAGCATTTTTCATCCAACAATATTAAAAAGCTTATCAAAGTGCACAATGTTGTTGGTAATATTATTCCCAGCCTCTGCTGGCACAGAAATGTGCAATGAAAGCCAATCTCAAGTGCAGATCACCAGAGCACTCTGCTAATTATATTTAATGAATACCTTATACAGTAGACTATGCCAGAGTATCGGGAGGCACTCCGGTGGGGGTCTGTGATGGGTCTGCCGGGACCTGCACTGCGTCCGAGAGTGGGCGGGGAACAGCGCGGTGAGGGGAGAATCCTCTGCCATTTTACAGGAAGGCGGGGGAAGCCCCACACAGCCGCCGGCGACAGGCCAGCTGGGGAAACCCAGCCGCTGGCCTGCAAGTGGCAGCAGAGGAGTGGGAGTGAGAGCTAAGTCCCCGAACTTGCCCCGTTCTGACTGCGCTCAGCCCCGTGCTGCCGTCGAGAGTTTCTGGGAGGGGAGCGGGCTCCCCACCCCCCAGACTGCAGTAGTTATCACCAAGCAGGGGGGTGAGGGGTGGTGCTGCGGGAACAATGCGGCAGCACCCCAGCTGCTCTGCTCCACTGCTTCCCCAAGTTTGCCGCTCATCAGTTTCAGCAGCAGCAGCAGGGGTCGCGCCGTTCCCTGCCCACCCCCCACCCTCTCCGGCCAGACGCAGTGTGGGTCCCAGCAGACCGGTCACAGGGGTATAATCCCCTTCCCATCTTCTCCTCTTCCCTTTCCCATCTGCAAGCGCCCATGGGGCTCACAGCAACTCCAATTGTCCGGCTGTCCGGAGCACTTCCAGGTTCCAGTTGCTGCTGGACTATCGGGAGTGCCGGGCCACTGGATGCTGGACAATTGGAGTTTTACTGTATTTTTTATATAACATGCACAGTTGTAGGTTACCATGATTTCACTTTAAAAAACAACAAAAGGTCTGGTAGCACTTTAACAAAACATGTAGATGGTATCATGAGGTTTTGTGGGCACAGCCCACTTCTTCAGCTGACTGGAGTTTTGAGTTTAGGATGTGCAGACCCAAAATAAAATAGTCCTTTATAGACTAACTCACCTGCCCCCTGAAGCTTCTCAACATGATTTCACTGTTAGTGCTAATGCGATCTGAGCAGACTACTTAATGGTACCAGGTCCTAAAAAGGATTTAGACTCTGAGGCAACACGTTAGTACAATTTAAATGAGAGCTTTAAAGGTTACATTGTTGAATAAAAAAATCATACAGTTTGTACTTATTACGTAAGCTACTTACATGTTATTTTTGCAATGCACTGTAATGGGGTTCTCACCAGGAGGGGCACCTCGTTGTGGGATTAGCTCCCTCAGTTTGAACCCCCTTTCCTCACACTGTCGCCCTCTCTATGAAGGACTCCTTCCTGAAATCTTGGGATTTGCTCCCTCAGTTTGAAACCCCTTTCCTCACACTGTCGCCCTCTCTATGAAGGACTCCTTCTTTGTGACTCAGCTCCTCTGGCCACGTGAATGCAAACTCTCTCCCTGACGAAAAGTTGTGCTGGAATAATTTTTATGGTGAGAGCAGATAAGGCAGAAACTACATATATGGGTTATTATTACTACTTGAAGCCCAGGGGTGAGACAGCGTCCCTGGCATCTATGCTCAAGACTCCTTCTACTACAAACTTCCTGGCTATATAGTCTAGACAGCTCTGACCCAGCTGAGCATCTTTCTGAAATGACTTTCCCTCCAGGTGCAGCCAGGTAATCTAATTGGCCCACATTAACACAGAGAAGATGGACTGGGGCAAGCACCCTGGGGCTCCGTGCATTGGGAAGCTCTGTACTTTGGGCACATGTGTGTCGGGGAGGGGACTAGCAGGAGGTTTGGTGCCAGCAACAGGAATCAGACCTGAACCCTCCCTCCTCCTGCCAGGCTGGGCATTTTGATTATTTTTCTTGCCTGCAGCCCTTCCTTTACAGCAGACCTGCAGTGCTCCTGTGCACGGTTCTGCCGGCTTCTGGAGCTGGCAGCTGCAGGATCCTACTGCTCCCCTTTATCCCTTCCACTGGTGCCATTCCAGCAGCCTGTACAGAGCAAGCTCATCCTGACCCTACCCTTTGCAACTAAGAGGCACCCTTTCCCAGTACAGCCCTACTGCACAGGCCCCCCACTCCTAGCACAGGTGACAAAGAGCCAGTCCCTGTGTCTTCCCTCTGCTGCGTGCTCCACACCTTGCCTTCTTCCACTGTCTTTTCTCTCCTCTCCCAGCACTGGATGCGGGAGGGGGGGGGGTCCTTGCCATAAGGGGAGCCACCCCTTATCACTCCTGGCCTCAGGGTCCTCCTTACCCTTTTCAGCTCTCCAGCAGCAGGCTCCAGCCTTGGGGTTCTCCTTCCTGCAGAACAGGACCTACAGTCCCACACATCTGCAACCAGGACTGGCAAATTACAAGAAAACCAGAGGGTTTCTACTGACTTTCATGAGCTTTACAACTCAACATAAGTGCTGGAGTCTTGGAAAACTTCCTTCTGGTGATGCAGAGTCACTGCTGACCCAAATTTGGTGTCATTTGACTGAGGGATCCCCCAAAACCTGTTCTCTTCTGTATTTATAGAAAGTGAGGTACTGAATGTCTGGATGAGTCATAGCCTGACTTCATTGTTTTGACTGAGACAGATGGTGTGAACTCACCCCACCATAGGTTAACATAACTAAGAATAAATCAATCCCCATTAGACAAAAGGAGTTTTGGAATAATGCCTGATGGAGGGTGCTACATTTTGTGAGTCATGGGTGGTGGCAATTTGTCTTTTTTGATGAGCATGTAATCAGTCTTTGTGGGGGAAGGAGCAAATTAGGCATATGAATTCTTCCTGGGCAAGGAATAGTATTTCAGGGGTGGGATACACTGGGAGGAGGAAGTACTGTGTACTGCAGTCTGCTGGTCCCTACTCTAGAGGTCTGGGGGTAGGGGCTGGTGAGGTTTTCCTTGTTAGGGGGACAGGAATTAATTGCACTGGGAAAGAGGAGCACTGCTGGTTCCTAATTACAGGGGATGGGGAAGTTTGCAGGTTGAGGGAGGTGGATCAGGGCCCCTTTGTCTGTATAAAAAATATTAAGAGGGGTCCCATACAAGTGATTTACCTCTGGCCTCATACTCCTCTAGGATGGCCCTGTTAACCCTTTCAGGGCCTGTATGGGTTATACATCTTACCCTCTCTTTTAAAACTAAAGTATAAAAGCAGCATTTTAGATTAGCCCATTTGTTCATAATCCAACACTTCCAAGATGGATAGGTAAAAATAGCAAATCCCTAGGACCCTTTCATAAGCCAATCCTATATTTCAGGGGTTGGCAGGCTTCAGTTTCCAGCCTGTCAGGGTAGAGCCGCTGGCACACTGGGACATTTTGTTTACCTGGAGCATTGGCAGGCATGGAACCCTACACCTCTCAGTGTCTGTGATTCCACAGTTCCCATTGGCTGGGAACACTGAAAGTGTACGTCCCTTGGTCCATGCCGCATCCCTCAGTTCCCATAGGCCGGGAATGTCAAAACACAGCCAATGGGAGCTAAGGGACTCCATGCCTACAGACACTTCAGGAAAACAAAATGTCATGGCATGCTTGCAGCTTACCCTCATGGGCCAGGAGCCAAAGTTTGCTGACTCCTGTTGTAGATCACTGATGATGGAATGTCAATTGTGGACTTGCTTCTTTAGAAAAATGGGCTAAAGTTTAGTTTTACTTAAATTGTATATTATATTATAATTGAGATAAAAGTAATATTAATATAAATAGATATATATTGATAATAACGTTTTTCTCAGCTCATGCCCATGTAAACAAATCACTTAAAAACATACTACCCTAAAGTTCAATGTTCCTAGTGTTAGCTGTTTGCTTTTCCTAGTATCATTCTACTACAAGACTAGGTTATAATTATGAGTATTTTTATAGCACATACTTACATTGATTATAAAATAATTTATTGTTGTCAATATTATAGCCATTTAAAGTTGAAAAGGCTTTGTTTAGTGGGACAGATTGATTGGAAATGAATGCTAAAAGAGCAGTATGGAAGATCTGCGTGAAATTTGACCCATGCATTTCACAAAAGACTAAACCTTACAAGCCAATTAGAAAAATACAGTGAAGGATAATACTACAGTACTGCTGTCAGTCTTCCACTATGACATGCATCTCTTCATGCATGTCAACCACTGGATCACCTAAGTATCTAGCCAATCTGAAAATATAATGTGCAGAATTGATGGAATCTGTTATAATATTTAAATAGCCTGTTATTACCACAGATACTCCAATCTTCAGGACTGCTTTCAAATAAACAAAGAACAATTTTAATTTGACTGAGATGAAGCAGGTGACATTCTTATATAAAGTCCTACAAAATTTATAACTACATTATAATTATAAACTAAAAAATCCTATAAGTAAAGATTTTCAGATTAGTATTTAAAATGAACAACAGTGAAATCAAAAGAAAAGGTTCTGCTTATGATGCAACTTAAAGCTGTTGAATATGAAGAAGCAAACAATAATTGCATTGCTGCTCGTGAACTCTGTGTCAATGTGAAGCAGGTAAGAAAATGGGAAAAAAATAAAATACTAAAAGACATGTCAAAAAGCAAGAAAAATATTCTAACGAAGAACACTTCATTGCCTCAGCTGGAGAAAGATCTCAATGTTTGGGTTGTTGAATGTCGACAAAATGGGTACCTCACCACTAGGATTAGAATTTGTCTGGGTGCTCTGCAAATGCCGAAAGACAACAAATACAAGTCAGTAAAGCCAACAATGTTTGTCACATCAGCGGGTTGGTGCACCTGCTTGATGAACCATCATAATCTCTGTCTTTGACAGCGAACAAAGATAGCACAAAAGCTGCCTGGAGATCTGGAAGAAAAAAATTGAATCTCTTCAAAGGTTTATTATAAAACATTGAAAGGAATATGCATGTAAACTGTCACAAATAGGATATATGGATGAAATGCCAATGACATTTGATCTCCTGAGCAACAGAATGGTAACTATGGTTGGGTAAAAAACAGTTTTAATTAAAACCAGTGGTCATGAAAAATCCTTTTTACTGTGATTTTATCATGTTTAGCTAATGGATCAAAGTTCTGTCCTGTTATTATTTTAAAAAGAAAAACCTTGCCTAAAAGCATGAAATTTCCTGCAGGTATCATCGTACACGCATATGAAGGATGAAAGTGGAACTACTGAATAGCTGGAAAAGTGTGGAATAAGAGACCAGGAACACTTTTCAATAAATGTGCTAGGCTCATTTGGGACATGATCAGGGTACACAAGACAGATGAGGTGAAACATGTGGCCAAAAAAATGAAAACTAATTTGGCTGTAATACTTGGAAACTTAATTGCTGTTCTACAAATGTTCAATGCATAGGCATGCGCAGCACATTTCATTAGGGTGTGTCCCTAGGGAATTTTACTTTTTTTTTTTTTTTTTTTTTTTTAAAGGCGAACATTTATTGAATACTCAATCATAAAGGACATGCTGTGAGCGAACGCAGGCTTTCTATACATTTCTACATTCGGTGCTTAGTGCATAATACAACAATCCATACTTTAAAACTAAAAGAGCGTATCATGCTATTAAATTAAAATGCAAAGTCACTTTTTTTTGAGACATTAGGGTGTGCCTGGGCATACCTGACACACCCCTTACACATGCCTATGGTTCAATGTCTGCCTGAACAAACCATTTAAAGATAGGCTATGCAAATGTGGTTTGACTGGATGCGCTCAGGCATGGCAAAATCGGCAAAAGTTGGGAATCTTTTGAAACCCCAAATCAATCTGGTTGCCTGTTGCAACTTGGTTCGGTGATGTGATAGAAGCCCCCAGGGGTTAAAGCTGACTACCCAGTGAAAACTACTGGATGATGGTGAAACAAATGATTTTTTATTAAACAGAATGGTTCTTTTATCAAGAATCAAGTGACTTTTAGATGAATTTTAAAACAAGCAATTGCCTAATGCTTCTACAGGAAGGGAAAACTGAACCAAACTGCACTTAACTGATTACAAACTTTGTGATTATAATTTGATTATATTAAATCACTATGTCTAATTCGCTTAAGGCAGCGCAGCATGCAATCAAAAAATACAAAAACAAAGCCAATATAATGATAAGAAAAACTCCGTCAACAGCCAGCCCCTCTATGCTTATTTTAGGGTAGCTGGTAGAGTTAGTCATTAATCTACCTCTACAACTTAACAACTCCTGGGTTTCTATTTCAACACTTATACATGGCCTAAATACAACACCACTACACAACCCAAGATTATACAATTTACACAGTGTGG